TAACACAAGTGCGGATAGAAAACTTACACACATAAAAAGAGTTCCTTGCACCTGTGATTGAAAAATTTTCACGAACACGTACGACACGTAGAAAAGTTGCTCTTGCGTGCAACAAGCTTGCGAAATTACTCAAGAGAGGATAGCTGCGCCGCGATTAATTCGCTAAGAGGTACGACGGTTGCTGCCACTTCGTGCGGAAGAGTGGTTCGAATCTTATGCCCGAATCGGCATTGACTGTTGGTATTCCGGAGAAATGGGCCAGACCCGTGGAGCAACGGCCGGCAATTCTGGAAGTGCGTTTATCTCTATCGCGACAATTTATCACCATAAATTCAAGAACGGCGCGAGGAAATAGCGTGACGATTTCGCGAACTACGGGCTACGCGTTACTCTAGATGACGCGGAGAATTCAGTTAAGCGATTCGTGAACTTCTTGGAATACCTCGAATTAGTCGTCCTCCGCACGACAGGTCCGCAACGACACGCGGAACGATGGGGAAAAAGAACGATGAAATAGGATTGTTGCTCGACGCGCGCGCGCGCGATGCGATTAGCATGCCACATTTATCGGACAGAATAAGAGAACTAAATATGTTCAGAAAATTGAAAAACTGACAGCAATATTTCGCGAAGAGACGGCGAAATCGCGCGCGAAGATGACCGAAATTTTCTGTACAAAAGCGGCTTATCATTATCATCTTTGGTTGCAGATTTTTTCAACCCTTTCTCATCATCGATGCGAAGACACTGTGTTACCTTTTTTTTTCTAGCTCTTCTTTGTATCTTTATTTTAATAGTTAATTTAAAAAAAAAAATATCAAGAAGAGAGAGGTTTTTAATAAGAGAACGGTGTTCGAGAGTGGATGTAAAAGTGATATATAAAATCCTTTTGTGTAAAAGAATCATTATTACAAAAATAATAAGTTCCTTGTCTAAAGAGAAATTATTGTTACTAAAATAATAATAGACTTAAAAATAACCTGGTTTGTATATCAAGCGGCGGTTGTTAAAATTTCGTCACCACCTACGTGATCACAATCTGAAACTGATCGAATTAATGTGTCTGTTATATAACGCGGGAGTATATTTTAATAGATCCCTCGTTGGAATCCGAGAAATGCACGTAAATCACGTTGGGATACGGTTTCTATCGTGCACGGGACTACGAGGCACGCCACGCGGAAGGCTCGAACCATTAACTCAGAAATATATAAGATCACGGAAGCATATCACGGAGAGTTGGAAAGTTATGCGATAGTGGCCGCTCACGAAGAGGTGCATACACCTCCGGCAAGTTAAATTACGCGGCGGATCTCCCCTCGACTTTTATATGTCGGCATTATATGAGAATTCTTTTATGCGCGAGCGTGAGACCCGCGCGGCGATATCGCTGCTGGTTAAATTCGTGATCACGAGACCCGAAGATGGATAGAGACTCTCGTCTGAAAGAGTTCCTATCCGACTCTCGATTTCCTGTACATTCGCCACGGACGTTTTTTGTAAATGGCCGTTTGGTTGGGCGCGCGTTATCCCCGTTTGTTCGCTCGCCGCGAAATGCGTTCTTTTGCGCACGATTGACCCAGAAATGATTTGCAATTTGTAAAATGTGCCAGACCGGTTGTACGTCGCGTTTAAACGTTACGTTTTCATCATCGCAAGCTGAATTCTGTTCGCCTATTATCGACGTGCAATTCAATCCAACGTGTATCTTTGCTCTTCGAAGTAGAGACCGTAATGCGACGCTCCCGGGAAGGGAGCGTTAATTAATATTTGATGACACAATATTGCCTGGTAATCGGCTCAACTACATTGCATAATGTATTAACGTAACGTTCTACGGTCCCTAAAACCATCCATTCATTATCGTTACGGCAGAAACGATGGACACGATGCGTGACGTTCCTTGGACATAAGGATCATCCTTTAATTGCTTGCGCGCGGTGTTACATCCTCACGTTTCACGCGCGAGAGTGCGCAGCTTGCGCGTCGCAATTTCTCGTTGTCCTTAATTTGCACAGAGCATAACTTTATGTAACGCGAGAAGTGATGAAGCACATCGAGCATTATTCACGACATTCTGCAGTACAAAAGTACTTGCTATGTAAACGACGTAACGAGCTATTTCTTACCGCTATTCGCTAAGCGCGAGTGAGGCAACACAGTGGATACTAATTAAGGTTTCTTTCGAGCTTGATTAACTCGGCAAATGTAATTGGTAGTGAGATATGCTTCAACTTGCTCAAACAATTTGTCTGCACTTTCTTCTTTGTTAACATTTATTTCCTCGCGACCAGATTTATCAGTCTTATTTTACGCAACGTACGAACTATATATATATATATATATATATATATATATATATATATATGTACGGACTTTATACGAGCGCGTTGCGCTCTAATAAGATCTTGAGAGAAATATGTGGAAAAAAAATTTAACCCTAATCCTGTAGACGATTTTTTTTAGGTATCCTGTAAATTCTAGACATTTATGTCTGCCGTGATGGTTTTATTGGTTAAAAACCTCTGTAAAAATTCACGGGGCTTTATTCTGTACTAAGAAAATAACATAAGTTTTGATATATATATATATATATATTTTTTTTTTTTTAGAAATTTATTGTTTAGAAAATCTTTTCACCAAATAGTTAATAAAATTTTCTCATTTTCAAGAATTGCTCGGAGAGTAATGTCCGGAGTTTACAGGGGACTAGAGTTAAAAATAAAAAAATTTGAGAATGAAAAAACCACTTTGCTATAAAATTGCGAAGTTATATTTGCTGTAAATAAAAACAACCGCGAATTCTTTTCGAGCAGCGCGTGCCGGATCATTTTTCGCACGAACAAGAAATTTTTATCACAAAGAGCGAGACGAAACAACCATCTCTTTATCATTACAAGATTTGTGACGTTGATGTATCAGCCCCGTCTGGTGTATACTCGCTTGAAAAGCTTGCTGCGAGCGCTTCTCTCATTTACATTAGCATCGCGATAGTATAAACGCGAATGTAACAAAGCTATTAGGGTAATTTCCTCGTTGCAGACTGCTTCATCAAATATAGCTCTGCATAAGCAAATGTAGAGACCGTCGAGTCATACCGTGGTAGAGCGGTTCGCGGATAATACACGTGTCTCCATTTACGCAAACGCCACTTTGTATCAGGCTTCTCACCTTGGCTTGTGAACTTCGCGAGATCTTATCTGTATCGACAAGATCGTTGGCTTTTCTAAGTCACGCTCGCACGTATTCCCACTTATATCCCTCGGCTCGTAGGAGTTTACCTTGTCTAAGTCTCCGGAGGCAGATTGCAGGATATTACTTCGCCGACTTCGTGATTCTACATCTACTCTCTCCTCCCCCTTGACACTCTCGCTCATGCTTCGCGCGCGTTTGTAATTCGTAAGTTTCAAGTTGAAAGGAACGCAAAGGTTTCATTTCGTTCCGGACGCTTCGTAGGCCGGTCTTGAAGTAGCGCGCGGCAGTTTCGCATTCTCTGATCCTGACGGCGGCGTTACACGTCAGGTCGGACGTTACAGATGGGCAATTAAAGTGTTACAACCTTACTTCCCATCTTCCCACGTTGGAGTGCTTAGCGTCGGCGGAATGCGCCATGCTCGAGTGTAACGAGGAACATCCTTTCTTTTCTCACATGACCCAGCGGTCTTATCAACAATTTAACTTGATCGATGCTAATGGAAAATGTAATTAAACATTCAAGATTGGGTGGATGCGCCTAACTGACCGAATCACCGCGCAGAAATAATTAACAAAACAAAAACTAATATTTACACACACGTTTTATCTTTCACTAAGAATTTGTAAAAACAAATCTCTGTTTTTTTATTTTTATTTGTGCAAAGAAATAGAAAATAGAACAGCAATAGAGAAATAGAAAATTAAAATAATATGTTTAACCTTGAAGAGACCTGTACAGAAAATTTGCAACCACAGATTGGCACATTATTATACACATGATTTCCTTACCTGTCCCTCGCTTGTTTCGCGCACAGCCGGCTGGTGAGCGCCCTGGATAGCACTTTCGCACACAAAATGATAGCCGGTATGCGCATCAGTCAGGTGTCATGACGTTCACCGGCAACAAGCGTGCAATTACTCGAAGAAATAGGAAAGCGTCTATCGGGCGTAAAATGCGAGGGGAAGTTTAAAGAGAAACGGCAGAGAGCGACCGTCTCGATTAGAGTGAGCGCGCGGTCCGCGTTTGCGCGCCAAATAAACGGTTAAATTATACATTGTTAAACGACGGACAGACTGAAACGGCGAGCGCGCGATGGAGTTGGTCTATTTTTGAAGGTGGCTGCGCGGAAGAAGAAAGCCCCTTGAATAAAACATATCTACCGGCGGGCATGTCCCGTAGTATCCCTCATCCCTTCGTCCTTTCTCCAGCACTCCACGTCTTCTTCCCCGCCTTCCTCTTTTTTCATCCGCTTTTCGTTTTGCCGTTAAAATATCCGTTTGTTCGTTTTTAGCGGGAGGTCATTTCGTGTGCTATTCCCGGGGTATTTGCAGTAATCATCCAGCGACCCGTGATCTCGGCGGTAATAAGGTAAACGTGTCGCACGCCCGGCAAACTTGGCGAATGAAGTTTATTATCGTGGTTGAGGAAGTGTCCAAGAGCCCCAAAAGTGTCATAGTCGTTAAGAGCCATAGCGCTACTCGCTGTACTTAACGTACGACACGGAAGATATACGCATTTAACATTCTTTACAAGCGCAAAAAAATGTGAACTTCCTGAAGCGTGAAATTAAATTTGGCGTGGGTAAACGTCCGATAACATCTGACGTTTGAAGGCCGAGTTCCCTTCAGAACGGAGGAGAGACGGTTTATTGATAATTTTGCAACTGCAAATTTTACGACACTTCAAAGAAACATGTGCGCAGCTCATATATATATATATATATATATATATATATATATCGATAAGAGTTTGTCGCCGAGAGTGTTAACACGTTCGATTTTTCTTGTTCTTATTTTTGTTTCAGGTTCCGACAGTAAACTGTCGGATATCGACAGACAGCCCTACACAACGTTGCTGTATAGCAACGGGCCTGGTTACAAACACCCGCGAAATATTATTCGGGAGGCAGGAAAGGATTCTATTCAGGTAAGGGATGGTCCATTCTCATTTCCGTACCTGTGGAAGGTAGTCCGTCAATGTTTATTGGATCGGAGAATGATCGAGTGGCGAAATCGAGGCCACGCTTGAAAATCCATCACGTGCCAACGGCTGTGTGTTCCATTGCGGAGAACAGTCTATACCAAATAATTCCAACTGCATACCTCGAAACGTTTCCTCGAACACTCCGAAATATCACGTTCGATATGCGCTACGGCAGGTTTTAATCATTTCATTGAAAAAACTGAAAACCCGACTTTTTCGGTTTATACGTGTGAAGTAAATTTAATCTACAACGTGTGTCTCTTAGAACACGCGCGCGAGCGCGCGCGTATTTAAATTTGCATCGAACAAATTATTGACGCAGATTGAACGAAGGTTTTAAACGTTCACGTGATTTTGTATATTGTATACTGAATAGTTTTTAAAGAAAAATCACAAGTTGCGATATTAGAATATTCTCCGCTTAAAGTAGATATGACGATGTAAATGTACTTCAATTAAAAACTTCCGGTCACCATCGGTATTATTATTTTCTTCATAACGAAAAATAATATGATATTCTTCTATCTTTTTTTTATTTCTGTTCGATGAGACCGTATTGTTAAAAATTAGAACGTGCGCTTAATGAATTTTCAAAGAGATTGCAAGCGGAATGAAAGTGTAGCTGGTCACGAAAAAGATAGGACGGAAAGACTTCAGCAAACAACACTGTTGGTTGGTGCAGTTTGTTCTTTATCAGGTTTTATTTATATTGCTTGTATTTATTTACAGCAATTATTTCTATCTTTCTCTCTGTCTCTCTCCTTCTCTCTTTTTACATATATATATCCGCCTCTGTCGTTAATCTTTCTCTCTCTCTATCTCTCTCCCACTGACATAGCTTCGTGAGAATCTGTATTTATTCTTTCGATTGCGTTGTGTTACATCGCGCGGACATATATTATAAATGTGTGTATTCGCACACTGCCGCGCACTTCCGTGTCGTTTGTACGGTCACGTATTTACACGGAGATTTTGAATTTATATTAATCCGTAAACACAATATTTTGCCGCGTATTTTATCAGATATCCGCATCGGCGAAAAAATTTTTATTTCATTCCCGGTATTTACAACCTATCGGGAGATATTCGCGCATCCGCCGGTTATTTATGCCACGGAAATATTTGACAATGCTCTGCGGATCGAGCTTCGTACGTCGCGGGTCGCGGCGCACGAAGTGGATCATCATTCCCCGTGTGTGTGCGTGTGCTTTTATTCGCGCTCCGTTTTACATTATCATGCCAAACACGTGCGTGCGGTAATTTAGTCCCTGATACGACGGGTGTTAACTTTAGCAAATTTTACGTGCGAATTCTGCGCGCCGCGCGTGAATGACTGCGATTTTCACTACCTCATTTGAACACAATGCAAACGCATCATCACCATGTGTAAAATTAATGTAACAAAGAGCGTATAGTAGCTTGTGTACACATACATATATATGTTAATGTGAACTATTATACGCGGACGAATCGATAGTTCCTTTTCAAATGTCAATCACTTTTCGCAAGCGAACGTATCTTTTGTTCAACGTATAAGAGAGATACGAAGTTGAATTTCCGATCTGAAGTATGAAAACACAAATCGCGCAATTTTAGTTTTTTAACGCAATTTAAAACACTTTTAATGAGAAAAAATTGTTCAAGATATTTAAATATCAAACAGAAACAAAAGAAAGAGTTGTGTGTGAGTGAGAGAGCACAATAATGAATCATTTTTCCATTAACTCCGTCGAAACGTCTGTTCAACTAAGATAAAAAAAAAAAAAAAAAAAAAAAAAAAAGAACGCGCGCTATTTCTCATATACTCGGCACAATCGGACTCTCGTTATCGCATATCTGCGATATTAAAAATCTAATTCGTCGGGGGGATTACAAAGTAGCAATTCGCGCAATCTTCTTTGGTCGCGGTGCTCGGAATGCATCGAGAAAATGCGTTCCGAAGTTATATAAAGGTATCATCTGGCGGTGACTCTCGAGCATGATTATTCAATTTCTCGAAATGCTCCGTCAGAGTGAATCGTCATAAGCAGCAGAAGATAGACGGGGAGAAGAAACTGATTAAAATCTGGATGGCTGTTCGAGCGATAAATTGCGACCTGACTCATCTCGTCATTTCATTCACGTGATCGTCACGCGGAATCAGAAATCTCACATTTAAAATTAAAGCAGAGTAATTGTTATCGCAAATCTGTATAACATATAATTACACATGTATATATTTATTCGAAAACATGTCGAATAAAATATCACTAAATATAATTATTACATATTAATATACTTATTAATATGTACTAATAACTATTAATGTTATACATATTAATTACACATCAATTTTCTAAATGTTTTGACTACATTGTTCCGGTGTAATTGCATCTGATATATTGTTTATTATTTATATCTTGCATTTATATTTTATCCGAATTGTTTGACATTTTGTTCGTAAACTTTTTGCGGCGTATGAAAATTCACTTGTTCATCGTTTACGAACGGTTTTTACGAAATTCTTTTTTTTTTTTTTTTTTTTTTTAGAACATGCAAAACCCATAAAAATATCTGGATTTCATTTCAAGTTACGTGCTGTTGTAGTGCGTATTTGTAAAAACGTTTGCTTGTTTTGCTCTTATTCGCTTTGGTGCTCGAAAAAAGTGAATTTTATCGTAAACTTCTCGTTTTTACCATTATACGTGCGGTTATGCAGAATATACGTATAATGCAAGCGCAAATACGTACGGCGGATGCATATTTCGGGGTGCTTAGGATAGTATCGTATAATACTGGTACGCGATACACGATAGTATCGCATAGCCTTCGAGTAGTGCAGTTGTTGCATCTCCGCGAAACTATCATGTAAACGTAAATTTGCGAATCGATATCGCACGGACACAAGAAGCGGTCATATTTTACATAAAACGATCGCTCTCAGTTTACAAGAATATGATTTACATAGTGAATGTCAGGTATGCATTAAGAGCGTAAATCTGGATCTACGAACTGGCATTAACAGCGGAGCTCATGACCGTAATACGTACACCACTACCGTGGTAAATGTGTACACGGCGATGCCAAAGTAAACAGCGACCTAATTTCCGATCGAAATTGTTTATTCTGGGAATATTTACGGGGCGACCCGGGACCGCGCCGTCCATCTTTATAAACCTTCGTACATAAATAAAATGTTGATCTAAAGTTTTAATCGAATCGACATTTTAAGATAAACGCGATTGTCAATGTTTTTAAGAAGCGAATGTATCCAAAACCGATGGCGAACGTTTGTGTAGATGCGTAATATAAACGGCAGTTGCATTTTCAATTTTGCTGACAGACCAATTCTCACAAAATAAAATATCTGATGATCCCGATGTTAATTCTGAAACATTTCGCGTAGCTTTTATTCCGAGCGATGTAAAAAATCAGGGAAGAACACGTTTGTTTTAAATAAAAAACATTGCGCCGAAGAGAGTTGCTGCTTACCCAGATTTCATATTTTATACGTAACGTATATGTTATAGTAAAAAAAACAAAACAAAAACAAAAACAAAAAAGCGGATAGAGCACATTATTACTTTCCTCTCGGTGATTTACTTCTGCAATTACACGCCAACGAGTTAATGCCTCAGATATCTAGGACGAATTAAACATCGTGCCGAGATGATATCGAGCTATTTAGTAGATGTCGCGCAGCGCGAGCTCTTTTTTTCTTTTTTTTTTTTGTCCCTCGTGCAATACAGAGCGCGCGAATTAATGAGAATTCTTCAGCTTCGATAACTCAGCGATTCGCGTTGTGTCATTTTTTTTTCTCCTCTCGCATTATGTGTACTTCTGCATTCTTGAAGCGCAAAGTAGTACAAATCTGTTCCACTCTACATGACTGATTTTTACCCGGCTCGCAATTCACCCCCGCATGAAATATCCGCTTCTCGCAAGATATCTTAAAGCAACCCTTCTCAACTTCAATGGCGTAGTCCGAAGAGTTTCTGCTCCACTTTCTTTTATTTTTATACCAGACGAAGGGTTGGATATTAAAGAAAAGAAGGTTAAAACGCGCGTGTGTACGTGTGTGTGTGTGTGTGTATAAATGTAGAAAAAAATTCAAACTCTTAGCGCGTAAGTTTAATGGATGTTGAGAAAAAGTTCAAGAGGTATAAAATGATATAATTGACATGTGTATTTTTTTTCTTCTTTTTCTTTATGTTAAAAACGAGACAAGTACGCGCAAAAAGACACACGGCTTGGATAAGTTGAAGAATCTAATCTCTTTCCGCACCGCCGGAGGGGGATTAAAGATTCCTTTCGTAAATTCCGCGACTGTCGTCATTATTATCTTTTTCATATCTGATTTTCCGGTTTTGTCTCGATATAAAAACGCTAAATAGCCTGGTACTATTCTATACGTTTTCTGCTGGGAATAGTTTTGCAAAGAGAGAGAAAGAGAATTGAAAAAGAGAGAAAGAGAAAAGAGAATAACTTGCCTCGCTATATCTCGGGCTTTTGCATTATCCAATAGAAACACTATTCAAGCTCGGAATGTACCGATGGTGGATAACGCAAACCTCCTCTTACGATACTTAACGCTCTTCTGACAGACCGTAATTCTTTAAGACGCCATTTCCCAGTTACATCCCGCTCCGGACAAATCCGCGTAGCAAGGACGCTTCCTTGCACGGTATTATTGCCGCTGGGACGATTTCTCTCGGGAAGGACGCGTGGATCTGGAAGATGGGCTGGATTTTCATCTGTTTATTTGTGGAATATATACATACACACACATATGTTACTGCTTTAATGCTGTTACTCTGGGAATGTATGAATTCCAAACTTTAATGCGTTTTTTATTGAAAAAAAACCATTGAAGCAAAAATATATGATAATTATTCGCGTTTAGCTGTTTATTTTATAAAAATGTAATATCGCAGATTGATATTAGTGAGATAATTTCAAGTCAAATTGTTTTTAACAATTAAAAAATCTTAGGCTCTGAAGGTTTCAAATTGTTTTTGCTCGAAGAAACGCATTCGAATTCTTTGTTATTTTTCCTAAAATGCAGCGAAGATGGCGAATACATCCCCTTATATTTTGCAAGAATACTTACGGAATTATTGATATTTTCTTTTCAATGTGTATGTGTGTGTGTGTGTGTGTATGTATGTATGTATGTATGTATGTATGTGTGTGTTGACTCTCTTCGTCGCACGAATAGTTTGCTTCCGATCGCAGATAGAGATTCCGCTATTTGAAAAGGAATGTTGAATGCAAAACATTAAATCACAAGTATCAGAAATGTTTCTACTCAAAATAACAGAATCCAAGTGCTTCTACACACCTTGCATTTTTATTACACAAAGAGCGAGGAGGAAAACAAATTGCGTTCTTCCGTTCGGATTTACGATACTTGCATAAATAAAGCGAAGTTTTTCTTTCGCGACGCCTACGGGAAACGCGATCGTAGATCGGTTACGCGTTTTCGACGGATCATAACCTTCTTTGCATCAAACTTGACAAAAGTTTTATTCGCGAATATCGGGATATAAATTCGCCGGGGAGAAATAAAAGAGAGAGAGAGAGAGAGAGATAGATAGATAGATAGAATGGACCTCTTTCACATCGCCATTCTCGCCACTCCACCCGCATTCCCAGCACTCGTTGTCTTTCCTTACGCGGACGTAGAGCCTCTTTTTTCACCCTCATTGCGCAAAACCACTTCTTCCCGGGTCAACCACACCACTTCGGGACGTGCTGTGGCCTTTCATCAGATCGTCGGGGAGGCGAGATCGCGGCAAGGGGTTTCACGAGGTGTTTCAACGAGAAAGAAATATTGTGAGAAAATTCCTCTTTTGCCGCAGAACAGCGCGCTTCATTTGAGCCGCGGGCGAAAATAAAAATGCAAGGGAAATCTACGTTTGGTGACGTTGGTTAAAACTCATGGCAGATGTTCTTTCGTACGGCGACCGCTGTAATTTCTTTCTCATTTTCTTCTACCAGTGGTTTCTGTCTATATTTTTTTACGATATAGAAACGAATTTTAACAAAGATTCCAAAGAAGTATTTATTATCATCTGAATCCGTTATGCAAGTTGTTTTTTAATACATTTGTGCAAAATTTATATACAATGAAAATACACAGATGCGCACGCACGCACAAGAAACGAAATAAAGTGAAAATTAAGACGGTGTTAAATTAAGACTATTCTTTCATTATTCAGAAAACAATTAGTTTTTTTTTTTTTTTTTGCTCGCGGAATGCGCACAATACAATTTCACCTCAGAAAGACACGTTCTCTTTCTTCGCGGAACGAGAATTTAATTTAGAAACAGACACTTAATCAAAGACTTTTTTTTATATTTTTTTCTGCTAGCTTGTTTCTTTATTTGCCGTAATAGACTGGTGTGAAGTACAAAACTTGTACGTATTTCGCACGCAACTTTGATTGCACTCGTAAAAGACGGCATATATTGTTACATATTCTTCCTAAACATAAATGTTACCACCGCGCGAGTATATTTTTCCGGAAAAGTAACGCGCTTTTGTTACATGTGCGCGCGCGAACTTATACGAGCATCGCGTGTTATATACGCGAGTTCCCGTGTCAATTTGACGTTATTAAAAAATAAAAACCTCTGTTTCAATTTACATTTACATAAAATGTCGTGAAAAGTTTCGTTGCCGTTTCATTACCGCTGTATTCCATATACGGTCGCAGTTATAAAACCAACCTCGATTCATTAAAAAATAATGCTCCGTTTCCCAGCAATCTACAGACTAGTATTCTCGCTTATATATATATACTCCGGAAACGGAGAACGTCTTTAACGCCTCTTCGACATTTAAAATGGAATTTTTTTTCCACCGTTTTCTTGCGCAATTTATTGCTCGCTTTAAAATGTAAAATGTACAAAACGCGGTTTTAACAAACTCCTTGTTGCAGAATATCTTTTTTATCTTATTGAAATGATATTATGAATATTTTTCTTTCTTTAATATATAAATCAGTATTTAAAATATAAGTGTTACGCGCGCGACGTTCACATCTTTTTCTGACACGAGATAAAAAGTTTAATTCATCAGGTTATTATGTACATTACGGAAATATGGATAAAACTTTCCATTCTTCGTAAACGAGCATTTAATAAAACTCAGTTTTGATCTGATAATTAATTACTTTAGTCTGTTATTGCGAGATTTATACAATAATTTATAACATTGATTAAATTTAACTGTTCGCGTTAAAATCAGATTTAATTTAGTAATTCATCATATAAGAGATCTCTGTCATAAATTAATTCACGTATAATAATCTGAAAATAATAGAACAATGTTCATATTATTGTATTGGTGTTTATTCATACATATATATGTTTATTTTTATTATATTTTTACATTCGATTTTCTTCGCGTCTGTCGACATGTCAATTTCAATTCCGCTTCCTGCGAATTCCTCCGAAAGCCTTTGTCTGGCCTTTAACCCACGCGGTTCGAAAACGATAATCGCACCTGTATCGGCTATGATTACAGACGGCGGGGGTGCCGCGGGCGTGGGCGACGCACGGGGGCGAAGATGTGCCGGTATTCGCCATCGGGCCCCTCGCGAGCGTCCTGTTCTCCGGCAGCGTCGACCAGAGCTACATACCGCACGCGATCGCCTACGCCGCCTGCCTGGCTCATCACGCCAGCCGTTGCTCCCGGGATACGAACAGCATCAACGGCAGCGACACAATGAACGCCGCGCCGATAAGCTGTCCCTCGGCGGAGCCCAACAGCGCGGCGATATCCAGCGACGTGATGAACGACCAGGCGCGGAATCCACCCACGAAATCCGCCGCTGGTCCTTCCAGCAGCCGCTCGTCGGCCGACAACGGTCTGCCGCAGTTGCTGCCGCTACTACTGATGTCCCTCGTTCTGCTAACTCCCCGGTATCCCCTCGAAAGGACGAGTTAATGCGTCTCTCCTCTCTTCCGCGTGTCTGCTAGGTGAAGTGGTAGGCTCTTCTCTTCTCTGTTTCGGCGTGAACGCCGAAGGTACATGACAGCAGGAGAAGCCGCCCGGAAATGCTCCCAATCTGACACGCGGATGCGTAATAACGGTCGATGGAGAGACCGCAGTGTAAATTTGACGGGGTGACTGGAGTTCGATAGTTTCGAACGAGTAGTGATCGCTGCTGCTGCTGTTGCTGCATCTCTCGGTCTCCCTGTTAAATGGATCGTTTACCAAGCAAACGTCACGCTTCGGAGAGAGGTAAAAAGATAATGCAAGTGGCGCGAGATAGCGCAACAACAACGGTCTTTCGATAAAAACGGTGCTTCGATTTTGCAACCGATTGACTGCAACTCAACTCGTTGTTTCCTTTAATTAAAACAAGTGTAAGTCTCTCGTTTTGTAAGAGTCGCTAAATAAATGAACGACCGCTAATTGAGAGATGTTCCATGCATGACTGCTATACGTGATATTGACGGGAGAACAAAGTGATGTGCGCGCGGCAAGAGCATCGTTCCTTAATCCTCTCATGCATTTTCGGTCTCGCGTTTCAGGAGACGATGCTCCTTACCTCGTGTAATAATTTAATTGACACAAAGTTCTTGTGTTTGAGATCGTTCGTAGGTTCTGCAAACTTCCCTCTAATGAGTGAAGCTCTTACAATGAGGAATTTCAATAAGGAGATTGAAGGCGCGCGTAGTTCTCGTTATTGGAACGCTCAAACGTTGCGAGAGAGAGAGAGAGAGAGGGAGAGAGATCAGTGTCCCCTGATGAGGTTTTCGGAAGAAAAAAACCAGTTTAATTTTGCCTTTGATCGTATTGGCGCTTGGTCCTTTGAAATATAATCGTCGGTATATCGTAACCGAAATGTTTTTCGGCGATCTCTCTCGTATAAGTTTGCGAGGGACAAGAGGTTTCTTGCGGTTACTTTTTTTTCTTCTGGCTGAAACAATTTCTTGCATGGGAGGATTAAACGTTTATCGAATTAATTCGTGCCTCGACACCGCGACTTGTGTTTCGGAATTATTGCTTTTTCTTGCGTCCCCAACTTCGTCTGACAAATAAGATCGAGTCGAATAAACAAAAACAACTGAAAATTCTACTAAATTTCGTACTTGAAGACAAAATCTCAAACTTTTGAATGACACGACGCGCTCTTGATGCAAGTGGCGTTCTTTGCAAAAAGAAGCGGAACGGAGAATTATAATTTTCACGTAATTGCAATTAATTAATTAACTTGCAAACGAAAGCGCAATAATTCTGACACCTTTACGCGTATCCCAAAAGTCTCGTCGACTATACTATGATACGAAACAGTTACGCAATTCACGAAAGCACATTTCAGTGAGAAATTTCCTGCCGTGAGGTAGCACGTTACAACGAACTGAGCGATAACGCGACCTAGCGGAACTGGTAGACTATCCAGCGGGCAGGATCATAATAATAATACATAAAGCAGAACCGTGTCAGAGTCTCTCCTGTAGTAAATTGTAAATATGTTAATGCTATAAAAGCGGATAATATGTAAATGTTTCCCGGGACACGCGTCGAAGATAAAGTAAAGTGTGTATGTAATTTAATCATCGAGAACTACTCATCATTAGCTTATATTATATTATTGTTGACACGCTTGTATGTTGTACATATGTTTTACTACGTGCACTATATACGTCAAAATTGGATCGGAAATATTTAAACGACATGCAGACAGATGTATACTTTTGTTGTCGATAAATTTATTTTCCATTACATTGTTACAGATCGATTGAGAGAAAAGTTAGCGTGAAGTGAATTTTTTGTACTTCACTTGCACTCACATGTCATTTTATGTCTCTTTTTTTATCTCAAGCCGCTCGTAACGTAGATATTGCATTTTTCTCAGAAGCAACGTTGAATTGACAAGAATTGATATGAAATTTTGCTTTACTACACACGCTGCGCATGTGTGTGTGTAAATGTACGTGTGTGTGTGTGTGTGTATGTCTATGTTTTGTATGTGTGTTCTGTGATTAAGTCGAAGCAGCAAGCTGTCGCGCGTTAAGTTTTCAAATTCTAGTTCTTTTGATTACTATAATCGAATAATCCGCCAGCATCTGTGTTTTGAATTTGAAGTTCATTTGTGTAATGTATATATATATATATAACAATATATATTGCGCTACGTGAGAGAGAACCGAGATCTACCGGGCGAGAGATTCATGTATTTGTGACTGGTATCGAGGGAATTGCAGCGCTACAAGCAGCGCTGTGAGTCCCTTTGCCACTCAATTCTCCAGGATCCGTTCTCTCTCCCTCCCCCTCTCTCTCTTTCTCTCACACAAGAAGAAGCGTTTTCGAGTCCGAGGCGTTTCCATTTTCACTTTTGATGAGGCCGTACGAATTTTATATCCGAAACGCTTTTGCGTCGTGCAATGCTCGCGAAACAAGTCGTGATTTGCCTTTTACGCGTTTAATCTCGCTTTTGATTTACAGCCGCCGGCAAATTGGCGAGCTAATTGCGCCGACAGATTGCTGGTTTAGCTCTTCCTGTCGCGCGCTTACGAAGTTAAATCGTGTATAAAAATAGGGGGAAAAAGAAGTATAAAAAGCGCGCTTTATTTAGAAAATTAGGGAACGGTCAGCGAATGAATATGCGAGATAATATCTGGATTTCGAGTTTTTTTAAATTTTTGTATATTCACGGTTTACATTTGCGTGATTTTTATCCTTTAACTAATTTGTCTGCGATATAATTACACATAATTAACTTTGATTTATAATCTGCCGTGCTTTCGAAGACGTACAATTGCAACATATTAATTTTGGACTTATTAGTTCTATTTTATCGAGCACAAGTTGTCTCGTTAAAATGCATCAGTAAAATTAGCAACCGAGCACGTATGAAAAAAAAAAAAAAAAAAAAAACTAAAACCTGCGAGATACATTTCCGTGCGTCGGGTAATACCGGTCCTACGTTACGAACAGTTTCATGTGCGACCGAACATTTACGATTTTCTGCACACGCGCGCGCGTGCAAGAGAGAGAGAGAGAGAGAGAGAGCCTTTGATTTACAGTCTTTTGTACAGTGGGAAAGATATTGCGAAATGTTGCATTTACCATTTCCTTTCTTCCGCGTTCGGATACAGATTTAACAAGAATCTTGCAACGCGAGAATAAAAATGCCATTATTTGTTTGTTAAAAATAGCACGTCTGTTTTATACGGAATATGGAAAAGAGCAAGAGATGTTTTCTAAGGACGCGCGTGTACACGAATAATACTTTATATTTCTCTCGATTTACACGGATTTCGCTGTCATCTCTCCTCACACCCTTCTTCCTATTTCCTTCCCCTTCTCCTCCTCGAAACGTCAGTCGTGTATCTCGTAGAGAGATGAAGTTGTGTAGCGCAATGTAACGTAATATGTTAACAAACAACAAAATCGAGATGTGAAAAGAGTCGAGCGACGATAAAGGAGAGGGAGCTTGTGCGGAAACAACAAATTTCTCCTCCGATGTACATCGTCTCGTGTCGGGACGCAATGTCGCCTTTACGATCGCGCGGTGACTGCGGCATAAAAAGCGCGAGCGCGAGCGACCGTGCCACGCGTAAATTCTCTCTTCGCGAGTGCATCGCGCGCGGCCTCAGTTTGTAGATAGACAGCCGTAAAACAGTTATACCGCCTAAGGACAACGAATGACCGAGCGTGTTTCTCCGCTGTGTATATTCCAAAACGAACGGAATTTATCCGCCGCCGCCGCCCGGCTTGTTATTCCGCGATGCGAACGACCGGGAGATTTGCGCGCGACGAATACGCGCGATTACGTCGGTTTTCATAGCCTCGGTTCTGGGCTTTTAATTGCGAACGAAGCCGACATGAAATAAGAAATAGACGGTTGGTAAACTGGAGAAACTGTACTGCCACAACGCCGCTTTATCCTATTACGAGAACCGCAGCGGGCTTGGTTGGAATACGAATCGTTGTATTATTGTGAAGATATATTTTATAAGATGGAGAGGAGAGACGGTGTTTTCTTGTCAATATAGCGAGATAATCTTTCTCCTTGAAGTAGCTTTTTCTTAAAACGCGAGAATACCGAAGCAACGACCGAGTAAAAAGATATTCAAATTTGATAAATTGCGCATCAAAAATGCAAAGTAACAACACAGTTTTATTTATCGAATTATTTTTATTTTTATATTTTATTTTCTGCCAAATAACACACACACACACGCACACAGCATTACTGTTTATAAATCTAATTTTATTATAAATATAACATTGAAATGTCAAAAGTTAAGCACATTATATATTTTAGAATAAAAAAATGAATTATTATATTTTATATAATACAAAATAAATGTACACGTAAAATTTATTCTTTTTCAAAATTTTCCTAATAACACGTTGCATAAAATTATTAAATTATGTGTGTGTAAATTAAGGAGATGTTTTAGTCTATATATTTTTAAATATATCTTTTTCAACACACGTATAAAATAAAAATGTGAAAAATACAAAAGTCATATAGCTTCTATTTGGTTGAGCAAAGCTTGCTTTTTTTTTCGCACACGTTTCAAGCATGTAATAATTACAAATAAGCAAAAACGTTGCAGCTTTTCCAGGCATTCGATAGCTTACAATACGTGACTGCTATTTGAATACAAGATATATTGATATTATTGAATAACAAGCGACTTATCGATCGATAGTTGTACCGTTCAACGGCACGTTATGCAAACTCGAACGTGAGAGGAGAGTGGTCGTAACGAGCGTGAAAAGAACAAAAACGTTTTACCGGCAAGACATACGAAATGAAGGCACTTGCGAATAGCGTTGCATCTTGTTAAATGCTCCGTACAATTCGACTCTAAATTCCTCTGACTCGCATTTGCGCCGTTTAAAACTGAAGTAGAAGTTTAATCTAGGAAATTGCTAACAAGTGCGTATTTTAGTTGTTCTCTGTTCTACGTTAAGTTGCGAATTACGAATAATTTAAACTTTAAATCGGGGCAATGCAGAACCGCACTTACTGCGAAGTTGTCACAGTTATATGCTGTAACAACGTTATGCTGTTACAACGTATCGTTCTCGACTACTTACATGTACGAAATCGTAAAAGATCTCGATGATGCAGCGGAGAATGTACTATATGCGTTAATGCAGAAAGGGATTTCTCTACGCGGAGCTGAGCGAAAATGTGTTTTAATAATCTTTGTATTATACACGCACCGCGTATTTTGGTAATAATGTTTTGTTATCGCGTTAAAATGTTTTATTAACATTTAAACGCATACGCGATGTAATGTGTTATAAGTATTAATGAATTTAGTACGATCACAATTTTACATAATTACAATGCGTAAATTTCATCTCTCGTGGTTGATAACTCCCCCTCATTACGACCGTTATAATTTTAACGGGAAATAAATGAAAATCCATTAACGCGTAAATCTGAAAATGTTTCATCACGAACGTGTGACGTGTGCGGACGTCAGCGTTCAAGCCGAGCTTACATTTTACGGAACTTACGTTTGAATAGAAATATTTAGCGATTGCGATGTGAATCATGTGAGACCAAAAATTTACGAGACAAGGAAAAAAAACGATACTACTTTACCGATCTATATATTTCTGTAAAGAATGTCAACATAATTATTACGAATGTAATTTATTATATTATATAGATATCTGTATACTATTGTTTCATAAGAAAAAAGATTCAAAAACATACGCTGACAGATGTGTTTCGTCAATTTCCTGTTGTTCTACTCATATAAGGACCACAGGGGAAGAACTTGATAAGCTAATTTTTATTTTCCGTTTTTGACGTTATTTGGTAGTTGTAAAATGGAATATTTTAATTATCCAAAGTGCGAGAAAAGGAAATTTTTGATAGATTCCGAAATATAAACATTTTTATAAAACATGTAACACAAAAATACATATACGTTTCGAACTTTAAAATCGCCCTTCTCTAAGAAAATGCGACTTATCAAGTTCTTCTTGTGTGATCTTCATATGCATATTCCGTATCCTTCTCACATTTGTGTCAAAAAAACAAAATGTATAAATCCTTTCTTTTCCTTTAAAAAAAATTTACAAAAAACAATAAAATAGACTTTCTACTAACATATTATCAATCTCTCATTTGATTTTATACACAGAAAAGTAGACTTAAAATAATTAAATATTATACAAAAGAAATCCTATATAAAAAAAGTCATTTGGACCGAGAAGTGCGCGTTTTGATATCGAATGTATCTCATCTATTGTTGCCTCTTTTCCGTATTGCCGATTGGTGGGTTGATCAAGTCGAATCGAATCGGTAAGATCGAGAGAATAAATAATGAAAAGCGATTTTGAGACAGTTCGTCGTATATGTAGAGAAAATTAAAAACGTAACTAAAGTTACATGACAGGAAAGAGTAGAAAAACAACACGTGAAAATAACGTGACTGTAATTTATATTATATATACATTAAATAATACATATTATACATATAATTTATTATATATTTATAATATTATACTTTATATTGTATTATATGTATTATATACCTACTACAGTAATGTCACTGACCTCCGCCGCGCGGCCTTGGCGGGGTCATTGACTTCGACCGCGCGGCCTTGGCGGGGTCATTGACTTCGACCGCGCGGCCTTGGCGGGGTCACTGACCTCGGCCGCGCGGCCTTGG